TCCACAGGAGACACGAGACACTAGAGACTCGATGCTGGAACTCTGCACGGGACAAGACACATGTCAGTGCCCACCCTCACTCCACAGGAGACACGTGACACTAGAGACTCGATGCTGGAACTCTGCACGGGACAAGACACGTCAGTGCCCACCCCCACTCCACAGGAGACACGTGACACCAGAGGCTCGATGCTGGGACTCTGCACGGGACAAGACACACGTCAGTTCCCACCCTCACTCCACAGGAGACACGTGACACCAGAGGCTCGATGCCGGAACTCTGCACAGGACGAGACACACGTCAGTGCCCACCCCCACTCCACAGGAGACACGTGACACCAGAGGCTCCATATCGGGGCTCGGCACGGGACAAGGCACATGTCGGTTCCCACCGGCACAGATTTCAAGCCTCCCTGCTCCACAGTAAACGCGTGACCAATAAGGAAGTGAGAACACGAGAAAACTGGTCCCCACCAAAATATTATCAAACACCTATGTGAACAAGGCCTTGGACCGGGCCTGATCCAAAGACATAAGTCCTCCCGCTGGCCCCCAGGAGCCCGGTCCAAAGAAAAGAAGGCCTGTCTCCACTAAAGCCAACAGCGCCCAGGATGGGCCGGCACCGCACTCAGCCGTCAGGACTGCAAGGAGCCCTGCCGGTGGTGTCTAGCCCTCCACACAGCAGAGGGGCAGCCACAGGGAGAGCGTGCAAGAGGGTGCTGCCCCCCAGCCCGAGAGGAGTCGGATGCAGAGGAAGGTCAGCGTCAGCCACAGGACAGGCGCGGCCTAACAGTCTCTGCTCTTTCTGTTCCCTCAGATGACAGCTTTGACGACGGACACAAAAGTGAACAAACACACAGCTTAGCAACTTAGGTTTACTCAGTGGCCGTGGTGCTGTACGTGGGCAGCCACACAAGCAGCCCAGCCAGGCGGGACACTCGGCCCATCCTGTGGTCCTGTGCGAGGGAGCCGAGCCGGCCAGCAGCCGCAGCAGAACAGCCCAGCCGGGCGGGGCCCTCGCCGGTCCTGCCCTCCTGGGCCTCGAGGGCTAAAAATAGACTGCAGCCATTTCAGCGCCTGGGATGACTCAGCACAGAACTGCAGCCGCCTCAACCAGGGACCCAGAGGCGCAGCGTGGACAGCAGCAGGCAGGGACGCCGGCGACAGCCGGCCACGAGCTCCACACTGACTTTCCAGGCCACCCTCTCACAGCACTCCCGGGAGACGGCCCTGGGAGAACGGGGACAAGCCAGGCGAGGCGTCCCTCCCTAGGACCACTCCTACGGACCTCGGCAGAATCAGCCACGACCAGCTCTGACCACACGCTCCCACACGCAGGTGGTGGCTTACCACAGTGTGCAGGGGTAGACCCGGCCGGCAACTGCGCGCCATTCCCTCTGACCAGGAAACCCACACCAGGTCAGCTGATACCGCCAGCCGTGGCCGTACACCGAGTGCAGGGCTCCGAGACAACACCAGCCTCTGGGGACTTCTCTGCTGAGTCCTCCAGGACACCGGCTGCCACTGCCCCAGCGCCCGAGTGTCCACCACAGGCTGGCCCAGATGCTGCCACCCATGCTTGTCTCAGAGTTCCTGCCACACACAGTACTATCCAGCAGTCAGGCTAGAAGTGCATGTGCACTTACATCTATGCCTGTGTGTACATATACACGTACATGCATACCACACACACACACAGAGACCATTCAGCTGTTAGGCTAGAAGTGCATGTGCATCTGTGTCCATGCGTGTGTGGACATATACGTGCATACACATGTCCACACACACACACACACACACAATACCATTCAGCTATTGGGCTAGAAGTGTGTGTGCACTTGTGTCTATGTATGTGTGGACATGTATGTGTATATACATGTCCACACACACACAGTACCATTCGGCTATTGGGCCAGAAATGCATGTGCACTTGTGTCTATGCATGTGTACATATACATGTATACACATGTCTGCACACAGAGTACTATTCAGCAGTCTAGAAGCACGTGTGCACTTGTGTCTATGCATGTGTGTACATATACATGTACACGCCTGCCCCCACACACCCATACCCACAGAGTACCATTCAGCTGTTGGGCCAGAAGTTGACTGTGCATTCATGTCTACGCACATGTGTACATATATGTGTACACATATGTACACACACAGAGTACGATTCAGCAGTCAGGCCAGAAGTGTGAGTGCACTCATGTCTATGCATGTGTGTACATATACGTGTATACGCATATCCACACACACACAGTACCATTCAGCTACCAGGCCAGAAGTGCATGTGCACTTGTGTCCATGCATGTGTGTACGTGTATGTTTACATGCACCTGCACACACATACAGAATGGATAACACGCTTGCTCTACATGCGAGGCTGAGACGATGCAGGGTGCCAGCAGCAGCTTGGCCTCTGGCCCCGGCAGGCCTCGAACATGAAGCCATGGTTGCAGCCACTGCCTAGGATGGCCGGGCTTACTTGCTGCACACCACAAGTCAAGCCAAGGATTGGTCACAATGTACTGTTACAGCCCACAGTGAAGCGTGTGTGAGCAGCCCTGTTGGCGCTGGAGCCCGAGCACCCACCCAGCAGGTGCATCAATGAGCATGTGCCCCGGACTCATCCACAGCGCCGCTCATGTTGCTGGGATCTAGGTCTGAGGTGGGACCAGGAAGAATGATGGTTCTGCCACCTGCTCCTTGCTGCTGCCACCCCCCCCCCCATCACAACACCTGGAACTGGGCCAGACCCTGCTATAGAGGGGACCTCGTGCTCAGAGGAGTCTTAACTGTCCCTGTCAGCCCCGCCCACCCTCCAAGGCTGCTCCCTCCCCCTCCGCCTCCCCCCTGCTCAACCATGGCCCTCCTCTTGGCCCTCCTCCTCTCACTCGCCCCTCACCTCTAAGGTGAGTCTTTCACAGAGACCTCAAGGGGGCTGGGCAGTACGCTGGCCCTGTGGTCACGAGCCCTGCCATGCCTAGCAGCACTGAGCTGTCCGTCCCGCCCATGGGCACCGAGCTGTCCAGAACAAAACAGAAAACAAACCTACTGCCATCAAGTTAGTTCTGACTCAGAGTGACCCCCCACTGGGTTTCCAAGGCGTTCCATCTGTACAGAAGTAGATTACTCCATCTTCCTTCCAAGGACCAGTTGGTGGGTTTGAACCACCAACCTTCTGATTTGCAGTCAAATGCCTTAGGCACTGCACCACAAAAGAGCTTGAAAGGTCTGGGGTTGAGTCTGCACAGATGAGTTCCGTGGCCCCATCTGAGGTCCATGTCTCCATGCACACATCTGCACAGTGGGCACACTCAGGGAGTTACTTCCTGTCAGCCAGGTACCAGATTCCACAGCTGCTTCCTTGTGTCCTTTCGCTTCGAGCCACCTTCTCCTTGTCTTTTTGTCCCACCTTCTATGGGATTACCTCATTACAACTTCCACCAGCTCTGAAGAGCCTCGTGGCACAGCGATTAGTCATTTCACTGCTACTGAGAAGGCTGGCAGTTCAAACCCACCAGCCACTCTGAAGGAGAAACGTGGCAACTGGCTTCAGAAAAGACAGAGTCGGAAACCCTAGGGGCAGTTCTACTCTGTCCTATGTTGTGGGCAGGTGCTGTCGAGTTGGCTCCAACTCAAAGCAACCCCACGCACAAGAGAACAAAACCCTGCCCGTCCCGTGCCAGCCCCACAGTCCTTACTGTGCTTGAGCCCATCACTGCAGCCACTGTGTCAATCCATCCCACTGAGGGGTGCTGACCCTTCTTCGCTCTACCACAATACCCTGCTCCAGGGCATGCTCCTCCTGACAACATGACCAAAGCAGGTGAGCCGAAGTCTGGCCATTCCCGCTTCTAAGGAGCACCCGGCTGCACTTCTTCCAGGGCAGATGTGGTGGTCCTTCTTCTGACAGTCCGTGGTAGTCTCAGCACTCTTCACCAGCATCGCAACTCAAAAGCATCAGCTCTTCTTCGATCTTCCTTATTCACTGTCCTGCTTTCACGTGCATAGATGATTGATCTTTGTGTGTTCCATTTCGTTTCTGACAACTTCGTTTTCTCTGATCCATACTTTGTACGTTCCGTGTTCTGATTATTAACGAAGTTTGCAGCTGTTTCTTCCCATTTTGAGTCATGCCCCGTCAACAAGTGAAGGTCCCATCAGCTTTACTCCACCCACATCATCAAGGTCAACTCTACTTTAAGGAAGCCACTCTTCCGCAGTTCTATTTTGAGTGCCTTCTGACCTAAGGAAGAACTCTGGTGGCACAGTGCCTAAGGCATTTGACTGCTAACCAGAAGGCTGGTGGTTCAAACCCACCAGCCATTCCTCAGAAGGAAGACTGAGCAATCTATTTGCATAGAGATACCACCTCAGAAACCCAAGGAGGGGTTGCTATGAGTTGGAGCCAACTCGATGGCAGTGAGTTTGGTTTTTTGATTTTCTGACCTGAGGGGCTCATTTTCCAGCACTGACTGTATCAGACAATGTCTCAGGGCTAGTCAAGAGTTTTCCAGTAATACATCAGAGAGTGTTTCACTGCCATTCATAAGGTTTTCAGTAACCAGTTTTTTCAGAGGTGGGTGGCCCTTCCTTCTTCCCAGTATCTGGAAGCTCTGCTGAAACCTCTCCACTGTGGGTGATCCTGGTGGTTGTTTGAAACACTGATGGTACAGCCTTTAGTCTCACAGCAAGATGCAGCCACCACAGTATGACAAACTGACAGATGAGTGCTGGACTCTGTCTGCAAAAAGGGCACGGGGATGACATCTTCTGACCTCCTCTAATCTCACAAGAGGAAGAGAGAATCACCATCAGCAGCCCAAGGCTTATTCTTATGAAGTCAGACATACCACCACCCTCTAGCCTTTACCAATTCTGACACCAACTGTCCCTCCCACGGCACTCACTACTTCTCTACTGGATTTGCTAATTCGTTGCAATGGCCACACACAACTCAGACAATACTCAAGATTATAGTGTTTATTAGGGAAGTGACATGCTACAATTCAGGTTCAGGAAAGCACTCAGGATACAATTCTTCGATCAGGAAGTTGCCCTCAGAGATGCCTCTCTGGCCCTTAGCCTCTCTGCCTGGCCTCTGATCTGCTTAAAAATGTTACCAAAAAATGTGCCAATAGGTACACCAAGGTGCACCCCACTCCATCAGCAAGCCTCCTGCCAAAAAGCAATCAATTTTCTCATTCTGTGGGCCTCAGGCCTAAGGCACACACCACCATCCCCGTGAGGCACCACCTGCTGCAGCTCTTGCATCTAGAAACGTGAGTGGAGGTGGAGAGAAGCACAGCCCAGGACTGCTCACGTTCCAGGGAGGAAGGGGTGGGCAGCGCGTGTACCAGGAACGCCGGAGAGAGACACCGAGCTGCTACAGCAATGGTCACCACTGCCATCAATCAAAGAAGACCGACAGAAGGTCTCTGGCCCGTCCTACTGGCAGGGACACAATGCAGAGAACTCGACCCAGGCTTGTCACACACGTGGGCTGGGGAAGCAGGACAAGTAACTTGACCTTTCTGGGTGTCGGCTCGTCTACAAGGAAAGGACCCTGACTCACCTTGGGCAGGGGTCCCAGCAGGCCCAGACCTGCCCCAGGCTTTGTAGATGGTCACAGCTTCTTAACTGGTCTCTCAGCCTCTGTCCTCTGTCCCCCTCTGTTCAGCCTCAACCCACCAGCTACTGTGACCAACACCCAACACCCAAGACAGCACTCTTCTGCTCACAATGTCTTCAGAGAAAAGGCCCAAGTCCAACAATGGCCCATGACTTTCCGTAAGTGCCCCCAGCTCCAACCATACACAGGAGATAAGGCCCATGCATCCAGGGCCACACACCCTCAGCTTCTCAGTCACTACAGGCATCTTGGGAGCCTGGCCTGGCGGGGTAACGTCCCGTCACAATGCATGTAAAGCACCCAAAGCATCTGTCACACAGCATGTCCTCAGTACTCACATAAGGGCATCACAACTCAGCATGAGTTAAGGTCAGAAGCCAGTGTGCAAACAAAATACTGATGGATATGGTGTCAGCCTCAGAGATGGACATGAGGCCTCGCACTGGGGTCACAACTCAAGCCTGCACGCCTGCTCTGTCTGCCTGCCAATGAAGCAGTGAGGCCCCACACCTGGGCTCGAACCCCCAGCCTTTACACCCTCAATGACCCAGATCTGGTCAGTGAAGGGCAAGCCCTGCTCCTTTAAAAGGACCCGAAGGAAGCAGGGCTCCCACACAGGGCCTCATTAAGTCTCCAATCTCCTAGCTACATCCCAAAAAGGAAGACAAAATACTAGTCATGATTCCGTTTTAAGTGGCTCAGTTTAAAAAGTCTGAATTACAAGTAAAGATGAAAAACTAAACACACACTATAAAGCCCCCGCATGTCAGGGCTGGAGAAAACAGGACCAAGTCATCATGAGCATTTCAGACAACGGTGGTGATGGTCAACATTCCGCTGTCTATCTATCGCCAGGTGAGGGGAGGAGGGCTGAGGCTGTCTGGCCTGTCCACTGGAACAGAAACATGACACCTCAGGAGCCTATCGCTTAATCCAAGGTTGGATTTGGGGAGGGTCTCAGCCCTGGCAGCCTGAGTCCCAGCAGTCTTTCCTGTTCAGCAGTCCCTCACTAACTGTAACCAAAGCAAACATACAACAGGTCAGAAGACAAGGACCCAGACAGCCGACATCCGTGTATCCCAGAGCCCCACACACCATCCAGGGACACAGAGACCTGAGTGCCATCCATGCACCCCAGAGACCTGTGCGCCATCTGCCCACCCCAGAGCCCCACACGCCATCCCCGCGTCCCAGAGCCCCGCACGCCATCCAGGGAGACACAGAGACCCACACGCCATCTGGGGACACATAGACCCACACGCCATCTGGGGACAGAGAGACCCACACGCCATCTGGGGACACAGAGACCCATGTACCTTCTGGGGACACATAGACCCACACACCATCTGGGGACAGAGAGACCCACACACCATCTGGAGACACAGAGACCCACACGCCATCTGGGGACACAGAGACCCACACGCCATCTGGGGACAGAGAGACCCACACGCCATCTGGGGACACAGAGACCCACACGCCATCTGGGGACACAGAGACCCACGTACCATCTGGGGACACAGAGACCCACACACCATCTGGGGACACAGAGACCCACGTACCATCTGGGGACAC